AGCATTCCCTTTTGTAGGGAGTGTTGTTGGTTGAAATCTGATGAAATCAAGTGACAGGCCTAGAGAAGTCTGACTAATTAGGCCTTTGCTCCTTCCCCCCACAGCCCTCTACTTTGTAATTTCTTTTGTTAGGGCATATCCACAAAGGTGAGGCTCACCTTCCATCCTTCACACGAGCTTTGCGTCCCCGTTGTCCGTTTGCCCCGATCACTAAAACGTTGCATCAGACACAGCCATGTGAATGCTGTGGAATCTGGGTTTTTTTCTTGCTCCTCAGTTTAAACTCCTTAAGACTTGCATCAGAGAAAGAAGAAAAGGAAAAAAAAGAAAGAATAACCAAGAGGGCACAAGACCAGGGAAGGCCAAGGTTGTGTTCTGCTACCTGTGATGTTACATCACTCTTTAGATATGTTAAATGGCTCAGAGGAGTGTACACATTGCATCAGGCTCAAGTTTAGGATGGAGGTTTATTGAGTAAATCCAGTCCAATATCTGTGACTAAGGCCATGGGCTGTCCTGACTCTGTGTTTGCAGCTTTTCTGCCAGTGCAAGATCTAATCAGCCAGAAAGTCTATTTTACAGGCTTTGCGACAGGATGTTGCTGTGAGTAAATCTGAAAAAAAGTGTTATTAGCAGCCTACAGACCTTCAGCTAGAGTAAGCTCCTGCAGGAGCGTGATAGTGGTAATTCACTCCAGACATAGTTGATTTCATTTGGAATGATAAGACAGTGTTTTATGCTTTACAACAGAAAAGATTTGGTTAGTTCACATTCGTCAGTTTCCAGTGTCAGCTGGCCATATAACTCAGGCCACACTGGGCATAATGAAAAGGATAACAAGAAAACATGAGAGATATTTAGAGAGAACAGTGAAACGAAGAGACACAAGAAGTACAGGCTGCTACTGCAGAAAAGGAGACAAACTCCCTCTTAATACCCTTGAATTCAGAAGAAATGGTGAATGATGTCTACAAACATTTGGACATTATTGTTAGTATTCATGTAGTTACTGAATAGTAAATCTTTAAGTATTATGATTAATGGCTGAATTATAAGCCTAGGGTTAATACAAGGGGTTAAGCTGTTTTATAATGATGATGTGAAAGTGTCATACAAATAAGAGATTGGAACAGGAATGCTACTATAGAGTCTCATCTGTTTGTGTGGTGTGTGTGTGATTTAGTGAAAGCTCTTGGTAAACCCAGACACTGTTCCCTGTCCGAAGCTGGCAGCTGGAAATGACCAGAGGGTGTTGGGGGTGGGGGGTGCTGAGCATGACAGTTGGATCACTGGGCTCCATTGGTGCTGCCATACCCTGCCAGTGGCACAAAGGCCCACAGCATTATCTCTGGCTGTACAAGTAATCATTTTCATCCTGGCCATTTCCCAAATTTAAACAGACTTGCGTGATAAAAGAGTTGGCCTCAGTGTGGACAACACGACTTTTCTAACTACGCTACGCACCGCATCCTCACATCAGCCTTCTGTGTGCTGTAGCTTGTGAACAGCCACATTATTGTTTACAGGAACCTGATGGTAATATACAACACAAGACAAGCAGCTCTTTATGGACCCAGATTGTTTGGGTTGAAGGAAAGGGCTGATTATGTAAGTTTAAGGGAGAAGCAGGGTGAATTCCTCCCCTCCCCATCCCTCCAACCCCCAAGCGCTGCTAGTTCCAGGCTGATGCCTCTGGTGTGAGGGAATGGAGTGAAAGTGACAAGCAGGGTTGAGTGTGGAAACGGTGTGCAGATATGTTTAATATACCTGACAGAGAGGGAGGAATTCCCCCAGAAAACAAAGCCATAGCCACCTTTAGAAAGCAAGCGCACACATAACCACACACAGGGGAACATATAGCATGACTTTAGATGCATTCTTAAAATGTAGACAACTGGTAAGGAATTATATTTCTATTGACAGGTAGAACCTATGGTCAAACCTACATGTAGGTTATTACAGTGAATGATTTAAGCCTTGTAACAAACTCTGTGCGTGTGTTTGTAAGAGGGTGCACTGGGAGTCAGTGGAGCAGGGTCATATCGTCCCTGGTGTGGCCTTGGCTCTATGCGCTGACACTGCAATGTCCAGCATAGCCAGCTGAGTGTCTCCCACAAATGACCTCATTCATCCTCAGCCTCTCACACCATTACACCCCGTGGCCTCATATCAGCAGCACATACATGCACTAACACCTGATCAATACAGCACCGGATGGGCTGCAGGCTCAATCACTGGCTCAGACTGGAGGTACAGAGCTGCTATAGATCTATGTTGCCGGTAGAGTATATGGGAACCTCACGTTGTTGGGTTGTTGGTTTCTTTAGGGGACTGCCCGTGTGTGTGTGTGTGTGTGAGGGTTAGATTGAGTATGTCTGTATTTTCTGAGGACATGTTTGTATACTAGGCCGACTCTCTTGAAAGCTTTGCTCATAAGTGCAACTGTGTTAGTATACAGTACATGAGGGCCTTGAAGTATTTGTATACAGAAGAGCTTAGTAGAAGTGTAGAGCTGATGTTACGTTTAAACACATGCAAGTATCTGAAGGGCTCAGAGTAACACATTCATTTAAACAAAGTTTGTTTGTGTTCTTTTAAATTAATGTGACCAACATCTCACTTTAAGGAGAGATAGTTGTGTTCTTGTCATTCCATGGCTGCTGTGCAGAGTTGAGTTTAGTTTAGTTCATATGTATTGTGTAAACTGAGCTAAATGAACTTCTAATGTATTGTATGGCATGTTTTACAGACCACGTCTGCAGAGCAACAATAGTATCTGTACTCTCTTTTCCTGTATCCTAAATAGGTCTATAATGAACCACTGAATAACAGTCCAGCATTCGCTTTATAATTCTACACTATCCATACTCTTCCACTTTACCATATCATAATTAAGCATATAATGAATATCTTAAACACACTTTACTTAATGTGCTTACTCAGGCCAGTCCCAGTATACACAAACAGCACTGTATTTGCTTTGTAATTCAAAAGATCTGTACTTTCCCACTTTATCATATTCTAATTAGGCCTAAGATGAACCGCTGTAAACCCCTCAGTTGCCCCATGTTACTGACTACTTCAGCCAGTCCTAATGTGTTAAAACAGCACTGCATTTGCTTCATAGTTCTGTAGCATCTGTATACTTCCACTTAACCATATCCTAAGTACACCCATACTGAACTGCTAAAAACCCCTCAGTTACCCCAATACTACTGACTACTTGGGTCAGTCCTAATATACATGAACAGCATTTGATTTATATATTTCAAAAGTCTTGGCCGTTGCTAAATTAATAGATGATAGCACTTTTATTTTGCCAGTGTTTTAGATTTGGTTATTTATCATTTCCCTTGGATTTTTTCACCTCTCTTTGTGCTCTCGTGGATGTAGGGCATGTAGGCTACTGCTTTGCCAGAGCAGGTGTGCATGTTCCAGTGTTGAATGAGGACTAATTAGGATTCGCTGAAAGATAGGCACGGGAGAAAAGAAAGGCGGGTGTGGGGGGGGGTGTGGTGGGGGGTTGGGGGGGGCGGTGGGCTGTGATAACAAAGGCAGAAGGCACTAGCCAGAAACAAAAGCAGGGACTGTCTGTGTCTTCAGTCTTCTTAGAGCGGGGCTATAATCAAATACATGTTAAGATTAAAGCTCTTGATTAAAATCTTTTAGAATAAAGAGCCCCCCCCCCACCCCGGTTCATTATTCTCGTTTGTGAATGGTGTTCATTACACAGACAGAGGGAAAAGAGAGAGAAAGAGAGAGAGAGAGAGAGAGAGAGAGAGAGAGAGAGAGAGAGAGAGTCAGGCACTGATGAGGAAGTCTGTAATCAATCTTAATGGCTCTTTACTGCTCCAAGGTTCATTATGAATATCAAGCAAACACAATGAGCTATCTTTCTCCCTCATATCGATCGCTATGCAAATTTACATACATTTGGAGCAGGCTGCTCTGTGCAGTGAGCAGAACCGCATGGTATAATAACGCACTTTGTTAACCACAAAACATAACGGCACTTGTGAGAACACTTTCTGCTCATTATTACCCCTGCACTCATGGCGCTGGAGCAGCAGGCGCCCAGAAGCACACACACACACACACACACACACACACACACACACGCATGCAGACGGCTTTCTGCTTAGCATCGTCTCTGTGAGGGGAAGTGCCACAGTGCTGTTGAGTGTGTGTCAGTTGGTGTGTGTCGCTGTCATGTTGGGCGGTGAGTAAACACACAGTGTGTGCAGTGTGGTGTGTAAATACGAGAAGGCAGGTCTGCGAAACAGCGCAAAAACAAATTCATACCTACCGGCTCTTTCAGCACTGCCGCAGCACCCCGAGTGCCCCTCTCTCTTTTTCCCTCTCTCTCTTTCTCTTTCTCACAGATAGCTATGGCCCACAGACGGCTGCATGTTTTTACAGTAATATCATCTAGCGTCACTCTGAGTTGCTGTCATAGAGCGTTTGCTGGTCGCATGGCACTCACTGAACTCACTGTTTAACTCACTGCCAGCAATCCGAGTGGTGAAAATAATCACCCTCATGTAAACCTTTCTTTGCTCTTATGAGGGTGTGATAACTGTTCTCAGGTGTGCTGTCATTTGTCTGTCTGTGTACAATCTTCAAGGCCCTAAAACAGTGAATTTCAGTCCTCAGGACACCATGCTGTGCACGTTTTCTATTTTCCTTACTCTAACTCACTCGGCACTGCTCATCAAGGCCTTAATAATTAGCTAATGAGCTGAAGTGTGTTAGAATAGAGAAAACACAAAAATCTTCACAAGGTCACCGGGCTTGGCAAACATTGCCAATAAGCTGCTGAAGAATTTTAGCATTTTAACCAATCACAGTTCCAGACGTGTTCTGTGTTCTGTGGGCATCAGGGTATTTATATAATCCATGTCATACAATGTGTTTTTAATATATTTCACAATCGCAGTATTTAACAATATAATTACAGTATAGTATTTTCATCATTCTGTTTTTCTTTCCACTGTTTGCAGGTCTGAGTATCCGTGGAGCACAGGAAGAAGACCCTCCAGACCCCCAACTCATGCGTCTGGACAACATGCTGTTGGCAGAAGGGGTAGCAGGGCCAGAAAAAGGTGGAGGATCAGCAGCGGCGGCAGCGGCAGCAGCAGCCTCGGGCAGTCCCACCGATAACTCCATTGAACACTCAGACTACCGAGCCAAACTCTCCCAGATCAGACAGATCTACCACACTGAACTGGAGAAATATGAACAGGTCAGAAGAAACACAAACAAACAGCCAAACGTGTTTTCATCATAGATTCATTCATTATTAACTACTGCTCTGACCTACTACTATGGTTACAGCTATGGTATTGACTATGAAATTTATATGTTTATTTTATGCTGTTGTGAGAGTGAGAAATTTATGCATGGGCCTACGTACAGGCTCTTAGACTTTTAGGGGTTGAATTATTAGTCAGGCACTACAGATTCTTTCATATATATGATTTCATGTATGGTATACAGAGTGTTGTAATCACGGTTGCCATGATGTAAGCACATGCATATACCTGCTGTAACTGCTAGAACTTGATGCCTTCTGCTCTTTTATAGTGTACATGTCAGAGAGCAAAACTAGACCAAACAGCTCTTCTATTTCAATGCCAAAATCTAAACTAATAGGTAGTAACCAATTTTGATTTACGGTTGTTTTCAAATGGAAGGCCTGAACTTAACTGACCCCACCACAGTGGAATTCTCCTTTATTAATATTGAGCTGACTCTTTTACTTACTGGACAGAGTGCATCTCAGAGTGTTGCTATGAAGGGCTGCCTCCTCTACTGGGGCCTTGTATTGATTCTTTTAATAGAGTTGACATTCATTTTGTATTCCTTGCTTTATCTATTTTAATACCATCCTAATGAATACTCAATGATTGTTGATTTAATGCTTTTCTATGACAGACTCACACCTTGTTGAAGGTGTCCTTTATGATTGGAGAACATCTGCATATGAATATATAGTTATGCAAGAATTGCCATTTTCCCAAATGAATAAGACAATGTTCAAGGTTTAGAATCTTATATTTCTTTATTTGATATCTGTAATATCATAAGACAGAATATTTTGTGCCATGTGTTGTTTGAAACAGCATAGGACATCCAGTCCCTCAGAGCTAAAATAAAAGGCACAGAAAGTGATGGCTTAGCCAGCCCCTGGGCTGAATGCATCTAATTTACTCCCAGCAAAAAGAGGGAGTGCAGAGGGGTGCTCAACCCTTCCACCCAGTGCAACTGCATCTTTCTTAAGGGTGTTCCCCTGATTTTAATTATCTAAATGTAAATACTTAACGAATTTTACTCAGAGTAATGAGCTAAAGTGTGCACTACCTAAATGAGTTATTCTAATTAATCATGTATGAACTACTGGTTTAACGAAAAGCTGTTTAAATTTTCTGGGTGCTGGGCAAATTGTAAATCGGCATTTGCATTCATAGATGACTTCACCTATTAGGCTGCTGAAGTACTCAGCTCTGCTACAAACAGCATGAGCTTTGTGTTTCTCTCCTTTCAAGAGCTGCTGCTTTGAACTCCATTCAGAAACCACTGACTGTAGCTTAAAAGAAATTTAAATGAATACAGTCGAGATGATGCAGTTTCAACTACTGAACTATGTCAAGTGTTGTCATTGTCAATATGCTGGAAGAGATTAAGCTGCTCACGGGATGTACATGTAGTGAAGCTGTAATTCAAAAAGGAGGCATTGAGTATGGAAACGGATTTGAGAAGTAAACAAATTGTAAGTATTATTGTCAAAGCTTAAACTGCATTGAAAGAGCTGTTAAAACTGATCAATGCCAAAAAGTCAAACAGTTGCATGCCTAATGCTTTATCCCGAAACTTAAAGAACATGAAAAAATCTTATTTCTATGATTCTCTGACCTCCTCCTCAGGCATGTAATGAGTTTACGACCCACGTGATGAACCTGTTGCGGGAGCAGTCACGCACGCGGCCCATTTCACCCAAAGAGATAGAACGCATGGTTGGCATCATCCACCGCAAGTTTAGCTCCATCCAGATGCAGCTCAAACAGAGCACCTGCGAAGCCGTCATGATCCTGAGGTCACGCTTCCTTGATGCCAGGTCTGTCTTTGTGTTTGGTTTATACACATGTACACTCTTTAAAAATAAAGATGCCAAAAGGGTTTTTTAGAGTGATACCATAGCAGAACCACTTTTGCTTCCCTAAAGCATTTACATTTAGATTTACATTTACAGCATTTAACAGATGGTCTTACAAAAGTCCCAGTAGTGTTTCCCAAACCTGATCCTGGGGGCCTGCTGTCCAGCCTGCAATTGAAATACTTTCGCTGCTTTAACACACCCTTTAACTTTAACTCTGTAAGGGATTGACAAGGACCAGGGTTGGGAAACACAGCCCTAAAGAACTTTTTGAAAGTATAGTTCTATAAAGCAGGGGTTCTCAAAAGTTTTTATGCCAGAATCCACATGTACAAGTAGTTGTCTGACCGAATGTTTTGTGAAATGAAATAAGACAGTCCACTTTTACTTAATATGTGGTCTTCTCAATTAACCAGTGCAATATTATACCTTGCTAAAAGAATAAAACATACATAACCCTTAGCAAGATTGGGGGGATAGAAAAATAATGAGCATTAATTCTGTATCATACCAGCTACGTACCAGCTAACATCCATATGTCCAAGAACCACTGAGGAGCTTTTAATTTTAAGAGCGTATTTGCATTCTTACGTTTCACAGCATTTCTGTTTCCTATGTTTTGAAAAATAGTTGAGTAATACTAAAGAAGAGTAACTGTCAGTATAATCCTGCTCATTAAAGGGGTTATGGTTTTTTTAGTTTGGTCTTTTTTAAATTATATAATGGGATAAGTTCAAACGTCAGACCATTGATTTGATGTCACAAGTGTTCCTTTTGCAGCTGAAGCACAGCTTCTCATTTTTTCCGCACACCTGCTTGTTTTAACATGTGACTTCCACAATAACAGAAGTTCCACTCCATAATTCATCCATTAGCAACAGAGGCATTCTGCAGTGAGGAGAGCTTTCATGCAGCCTGCAGGCCTTTCCATTCAGCACCGCCATGCTAAGCACCTGAAAGCACTTCAGATTTCTGCAGCGAGGGAATGAAGTCATTTGTGTTTGGTGGGTAGGAGGTCATCAGCAGGTGGTCTAGATTACAGTAATCACAAACAGTTGGTGCAAGAGGTCTAGAGAGGTCTAGAGAGTGGGAGAGAGAGCGAGGGAAAAAGAGAGAGAAAATAAGTGCAGTAAAGGGTTGTGGGGGAATGCTCAAACGGAGCGGAAGCACAGTCATTGGGCCGGTGCTGGCGCTTGTGTGAAAGGCATTAAACAAGGCGAAAGAAGCCTGTGCCTGAGCAGCAATGAGCCTGCGGCATGGAGGAGAAGGGGGTGGGGGTAGCGGGGGTAGCGGGGGTGCGCTGCGGTCTGGAGCAGGCCACAGTCAGCTAGATTGAGCACAGCTCCTTCAGGCCAGGCACTTGTACTTGAGGAACAGTGCTCAGCTGGGCATGGTCTGATTTCTCTAATGTCCCAAGATACAGCCCCAACTGAGCACGCACCATTGTGGTTAAGGGAGAGAGAGCTTGTCTGCACTAAACACTGCACATTACACGCTTGGGCTAGAGCTTGTTCAGCGAAGTAACAATGTGATTGTGTGTCTGTACGTATTTTCCGACTAGGGTTCCTCCAAGTTCAAAAGTCCAGTTTTCTTTCTGAGGGAGTCCTGCTCCCCTCATTATTCCTCTCATCTCCAAGCCTGCCCCAGCACTGTTATCTCAAGTCAAACAGACACGTTTCTGCTGCTCACGCTAAACGCCTTCCTCTCTTCCTCCTCCACTCAGACGGAAAAGACGGAACTTCAGCAAGCAGGCCACGGAGATCCTGAATGAGTACTTCTATTCCCACCTCAGCAACCCCTACCCCAGTGAAGAAGCCAAAGAGGAACTGGCCAAGAAGTGCAGCATCACGGTATCCCAGGTGAGACTGGACATTTCATTCAGTTCAGTTTTGACACAAACACTTAGACCTTTTGTTTAGTGAGATAACAGAGCTTCACTAAGGTTCAAAGCCTGACACTCTTAAAAATAAAAGGGGACAAAAAAGGTTCTTTGGAACTGTGCATAGAAGAACATAAAAAAAGAAGTTTTTGTTTCATTAAAGGCTTTTCCAATAAGTATATGCTTAAGCCAAGAACCACTTAGCAACTTTTGTTTTTAAGACTTTACCTCTTTACCTCCCAGACAAAACTTAGTCACATGCATAATTTCTTCTCTAGCACTTAGTTAAGTGCCCCTTGTCTGGGGACCATTGCCTTATTGACAGCGTCAGTCCTGTCAGGTAAGGATTATATGTGGTCCCTTTCTGTTCGTGTTAGCCCACTGTTCCACTAACTTTGTGCTTCATGTCCAAGCAGAACACAACATTGACATTGCCACATTCCAGGATGACAACTGGAGGGTGTCTGCATGTGACTGGTTCAACAGACATGGTGGAACACTGGGATACTTTGATATACCAGCAAATTCATCAATCCCAATTGACAATATGGGACAGCAGGTGAAGTGCTGAAATAGGCATATGAACTCTGACTGAAAAGTGCACACAGTCTGTAAAAGAGTGGGCCAGACTGGACAGAAACTGTCATAAGAGACTGGTTTTATCTGTTCCCGACAGGATTGACGCCATTTTTAAGGCAAAGGGAAACATAATCAGGTATAATAAAAGAAGTGATGCATGTGACAATTGTTTTGTCCACTGAGCTGACTGTCGATGAATAACCAGCTAGGATAGCATAAATTAACATTCAAAGCTTAGAGATGAATAGAGACTATTTCTGGGTTTGCATGTTTGAGAGTGTAAGAATGGAACCTAAACTAGAGTCCTCCTACACTCATTCTTCCATTTCCCTTTCTTTCCTCTCATCCTCCCCGTCCTCCATGCATACTGTCCTCCATCCACTGAGCTTTGAGGAAAGACCAGAGCCTTCTGCAGCCTGTAGCCACTGCATCTGCTCTTATGCAACTGTTTGTTGTAGTCCACCTTAGCCTCTACTTTTTAGCTGTGTGAGTGTGCTTCTGCATGCGTGTGGCTGTCCGCGAAGAGGCAAAAGATAGTGGTGGGTGGATTAAAAAGCATACGGTACCATCAAAGTGATTTTCCCACTCTGTGGAAGCACTAAGTTAACACACACCTGAAGGCAATAGTATCCCCCTCACTCATTTCCCCACAGACAAAAAATAATTTTAGTACATGAAGCCACAGAGGTGGTCTTTTTTTAATGTCTAATGTTAGCCTACAGGTCTCGGTATACACCACTGGAATTCTCTGTGATATGTAAATGTCTCTTTTTTTGCTGTGGGGAGGGGGATGTGGAGGGCTGTTGAGAGTCAGATACTGTAAAAGCCGTTCTTTTTTGCCTTCAGGGGGTGGGAAGCACCATCACAGTGGCACAGGTATGTCATGATTTCTCCTGCTCCACTCTTGTTTTGGTCTTTTCTTTTGCCTTCTTTTCTTCTTTTTTTCTTTTTCTCAAACCCCTTTATGTGTGTTCACTGACACCTCAGAATGCATACACCCCTCAACCCGATCACCTTACCTGCACTGCCAGACCGCTCCTAACACTCTTTTGAATTAAGCAAAGGAAATCAGTGCAGTGTTAAATATTTCATATATGGATGGCTCATTAGCGCAAAACATTCAGCCTTCCATTTTGTCATAGACTTACCATCTCATCAGATTAAGATCCACCTAAAGACCTTACAGCAAGATCCCAGCTACCTTGGTCACATCTCATTTTATGTACCATGTCTGTTCATTTGTTACACATTTGTAAAAGGAAGTACCTGTGTTTAATCCCGTTAGAATCTTCACAGACAGCTGTATTATATTTGAACTTGTTATCGTGTAGGCAACATGATATATGCTTGATCATTCTGTGTCTTTGGTATGTAGGGGCATGGGATCTGCCACACTTTGTTTTGTGTTATAGTGGCTTTTACATGGGTTACATGGGTTTATGCACTGGAGGACTCTTGGCCTTTAAAGGCCTTAATTAACTAGGTTGCCATAGAAACTAGACAGCCAGTCAAAGTGCATTAGGAATTAAGGGTACTCTCACAGAAGTCACTTGAACTCAGCTTGAAGAGCCCTTAGTAGGGTCCAGTTAAAGTGCCCTAAAAGCATTTAGCACATCTGAGCTATCCATTATTTTGAGAAGATTAATGTTGAAAGGCAACGGCAAAGTGCTTTTGTACCATGATTTTGTTCATATCAAATCAGTCTATCAACTTAGCACAGATACAACAGCCATAAAACGCAAGGTCAATTCAAAGTCTGTGTGGCATGGTCTGATCTAGTGGTGATATTTTAGGCAGCCAACACACTCATGTATTGGTCAAAACGCTTACAATTTTTTTTTTTTTTGAAATGCTGGCAAGGAAAAATTGTCTGTACTGGCTTCTTTCAGTGTGCATCTATGAAGCACATAATGATTTTATTTCCTTTTTGTTTTAACAAACAGCAATAAATAGAGAAAACAAGATACTCTTCTGAGTTAGCCAAGGCTAAATTAGGCACCCAGTGCAAAAGCATGGTTTGGAACTGGGTACTGATTGTTAGTGATGTGAGAGTGTGTAATGGTGTTGATGAAATTTAGCCCCTTTATCAGACATGGGTCCATGTTAGTGCATCGAGACATCCTCATTATCCACCCTGCTCTCTCAAATGAGCACCACCACAGCTGCATGTAAGGCTTTTGAGATGTGTTGGGTGGATATAATTGATATTGTTTGCGGAGTTTGGGCACTGGCTGGGATAAACTGTACACATTGGTCATCCAGGGATGGGAATATGGAGGGAGGGTGAGCAGGATCACAAATGCAAATTAATAGGCCCAAAGTTTGACATCATTACACAATTAGGTTGCTTTCTTCTGCTATAATACTCCTGAGGTTCAAACCAGTGACACTTATCAATATTTTAGCTCATTATACATGAAGCTAAACCTGGCCCTAGGTTAATGTGTTAACTATTAATGCATGCTGCTTCATTATTGATAATATCTGCGGTTCTGGCCGCTGAAACCACCTACGACAGTGTTTGCTGTAGCTGAAACAATCCTTAAGGACAGAGGGCAGATATTTCAACTAGCAATAGATGATTGCTACAACATGTTCTACCATGATTAACTTAATCACAAAAAGATAGTTATGTGGATCATATGTAAAAATGACAGTTTTTTCTGATGTTAGCTAGCTTTGGGGAAAGCTTTGGGGGACAGCTAGCTTTGATTAGCAAAATAGCTTGCAAGCTACCAGGAAAGGTTTGTTCTACCCACTGTGATCCAGCTAAACAATATTTTCTGTGTCTTGTTTTGTGGGTGTGGGTGTGTTAACAAAGCTAGAACTCCAAACATTCACTCTCCTTAAGAGAGGCGATATAAAATCTGGTGCTATTGAAACCTGGGGAAGATCATCTATTCTTTTTCAGTGACTCTAGCGGTGTATTGACCCAGGCTTGCAGATGGAGAAGTGGTGAATTATTTACTAGAAGCACAGAGTCTCTCCTCTCCACTGGGCAGGGGAAAACAAACCTGGTGTCGGGTTGTAGGCACACAGAAGTACTATATCACTGGAACATTCTCCTCATGCCAGTTCCTCGGTAGAGGTCAGGTGTACAGTAGTAATTCAGCCTAGTGGCTGACGTTGCATGCTGCACTGATCAGTCGATTGAAAGCATGCTCCAGCTGTAGATAAGACGGGTTTGGAGGGTTCCTTTCACCAGCCGTTTATGGTGTGTGGGTTTTATGTAGTTTGGCACATCAGGGATAAGGGAGGAAGAACTACCTGAAACTACTATTACATCAATTTAATACCATGATAGTAAATGTAGAATCAATAATTTCGCAGTAGCCTATATGATCCTAAATTTTATTTGGATGAATCCCTTGCATATTATATTCTGTGCGATACTATCAAATCAATGGAGAGCACAATGGTACATCAGGGCTGAGGCTAGGTATGATTCATTAGAGCAGATCCTCTCCACTCTGATTTGTTAGCATTGCTGTGTTGGCAGTTAGCAAAGAACTGATGCTGCAGCGAACCCTATGCAACCCTTCAGGAGGCACAAGGGTTTTGTATCTTTAAATGGTTGCATTGAGAACTGTCGTATCAAGAACAGTTTTTTAAGAGTGTGCGTATAAGTGATTTCCTTTATGTAAATCTCCTTATGTGAATCTCTGCTACTTCCATCTTTCTCTTATGTGTAATGTGTAAAGGTATGGGAGTTGCATTGTCAATCCCGTTAGTTTATCTGTGTTTGTTTAACATGTATTGTTAAACTAGGAGACAAAGTCACATTTTAAGCCACAATTATTTCATAGCAGGATATTTTGTACTTCATATAGGGCAACCATACAAAGAATGATTTCTAGTTATTCTGTTTCTATTGTGAGACTTCTTTCTTGCCCAACATACAGTCAGTAATATAATGAATATAGCTTATCCTAGACAAATTAACTATCCTATGTAGAAATTAGGTACACGATTTGTTTATAAATACATACAAATTGCAGATAGGCTTATTTTCCAGGCATAATATAAAAATTACTGCATTGTGTAGCTTAAGGCCTGTGCATATTTACAGTAGTCTCTCAGCCTAAAGTTTAAAGCCTGAATGTGCATCCTTCCCCCTGCCCTTAAAAGCTGCTCTCTAAGCAGGTTAGCTAAAAAGGATGATGGCTAGTGCTTTCATTGCTTCCAATTAAACCTTGCTTGTTAGTTTAACCTCTAGGTAAACCCATCAAACAATTGATGTCAAGGCAAAAGCCTGCCAACGGTGGTGGCTTTGGCCGAGCAGTCATTAATTTTAATTGCCTAGATATTAAAGATTTAGAAGCACAGTGACATGGTGGGGCAGGACTGATCTGATGTCATGTAAATTCGCGGGCTTTGGTGTAGCATGGCTCCGGCTGCTGGAGATATTAAAATGGAAGCGCAGAGGTGGAAATTAAATAAAGCTTCATTAAAGGGCTTGGGCTTTCTGCCTGGCCCAGCCAGCGCTGGGATATGGCAGGAGAGATCGCCACGGCGACAGGCCACTGTAATTTATAGGGCTATTAAGAAACAACCCCTAATCTCTTTATTATTCCACAATTATTGCAGCGCAAGCATTCACACTTCTGCCCCCCTGATGTGACCTAGATCTTATTGTTTCCAGTATGCTTTGTTTTTGTATCACTGCAATAATTAATGCATGAGCTAGAATCGGTAGTCTTAAGTGTAGTACTCTAATATCTCTAATAAATTCTATATGTGAGAGTGTGCTTTGAAACTTCATTTATTCCTGTTTACTATTAACCCATAAATGAAGAGCCTATTCTTGTAATCAGCAACATTGCATTAAATGCAAATTGAATATGCCATTAACCTAAGATTTAATCAGAGACACTTTTATTGTACTGCTCTGCAAATATTGGTAGCTTGGCAAGTTAAAACATCTAAAATGTAGACAATATACCTAAAATAGCCCATTCTGACATTGTAATAATATTATAAGATTATTCAACCAATCTCTAGACATTAAAGTAATTTTGTCATTTCAAATCATTTTGGTTGTGCTTGTTTTAAGAAATAATACTCAAAAGAAGGAAAATTATCTGCCAACGCAGTTAGATACTTTTATTTGATAAACTCACTTTAATTGAGTGAAAATGCCGAGAATATAGGTTGAGTAACCCAAAAATAGAAACTAAACTAAATAAATAAATCTTTAAGCAAATCTGACACAAATGACACAGCACAGCAGCTTAATGCTATACCAAAACCAAAATGTGCCCCATTGCTGAGAAAACATTTTCCATCTGGATTCTTACCAACTTTGCCACAAACGTGAACCACTGCTCTGTTGACGTGATCCTGTGTGAGCACCACCAAAGCTTGGTGTTGCCACAAGACGAGCAGCCCCTGGTGTGTTGGTTTTTGTCTAGAGACAAACACAGAGCATGTCACGCTCTCATCCGTAATAGCACACAAGCCCTGTCTGATAATCACTTAATTAGTCTATGTGCCCAGCGGATATTACTGCAGGAGGCTGGGGACCGTGGACTTGATGGACCTGAACGTGACATCTTGAAACAATCACACTGCTCAGTGCACTGTGCCTCGTCTGCCTTGACGTCTGACACCCCCCTCCCTTCTTCCCTCAACCCCCCCCCTTCCTTTTCTTTCTCTCTCTCTCCCCCAGGTATCCAACTGGTTCGGGAACAAGAGGATCCGGTACAAGAAGAACATTGGCAAGTTCCAGGAGGAAGCCAACCTGTACGCTGCCAAGACGGCCGTGAACGCGGCGCACGCGGCAGCTGCCGCTGTGCAGAACAGCCAGACCAACTCACCCACCACACCCAACTCTGGTAAGCACCAGTGAACACCCATCCCAATCCCAAATCAGACCCTTACCCCACCCCATGCCTCCCCGCTCCCCTCGGAAGAGCAATGCTCTCTCCCACGCTCTGCGCTGCCTGGGTGCTGTGACAGTGAGCGGTCCCAGCTAGGGGGATAAGCCCCACTCTCCTGCCTCCCAGACCGTACATGCCGAACGAGACAAGCATAGTCAAGCAGACAAGCAGAAACTGTAGGGTATGTGTGTATGCGAGTGTGTGTGCATGGGTTCCGGCCGTGTGAACTGTTTTTAGTGAAAAAAGAGAAATATAAATGATGATCCTCTCCCACTCTTCCCTTCCTTTCTGTCCTCTTATGCATAACAGTGTTACCCCTACTGTGAAATAATGGAAATCTCTTGCTTGGAGCATGTTATGCTCATAAAAATAAAGAATATTAATGAATATTTTATTAGTAGCATGATGCCGTGTATAGTGTTGACATTCAAACAAAAATAATAATAATATATTAAAAAAACATATTAAGCAGAAGTGACTATGTTATGGACATGGCTGAGGCCCTGAGGGCTTGTGGGTAAGAGATTTAAAGGGGTCCCCTTTTTCTTGCACCCAGGATTCCAGATGAAAGATGAAGAATTTCAGCTGGACTCTGCAGAGAACAAAAACTCTCTATTAACCAACATGTTTACTGGTACTGACCTTTTCCATCAGCTTCTTCCTGTCCTTATTGTCATTGGCACATGATCCCTTCTGAGCTAGTCCATTAGAATAGCAGGTGATGTGAAACCCTGTGGAGCTTAGGCTGCCAACCCCATAACCAATCTCTGTGTGTCATCAGATTTTCTTTTCTTTTGTCCTTTTTTCTTTCTTTATGTATGTATGTATTTATTGATTAGATAGGTAATGCAGTAGATGGGCTATCTTCTCAATTATTTTCTCCCTTTGCTTTTGCTTCACTCTGGTTGCTTGTTTTCTGGGCATCTGTGTTTGTGTATGGGTGATGGCGTACTTGTATGTATGCTCGTGTTCGTGTCAGTGTGTGTGTATGTGTGAATTCCTCTCTCTCTTCCTTGCTCTCTTTTGTTATTCAGCCACTTACATCTTTCCTTTCCAGGTTCGTCAGGTTCTTTTAACCTCCCAAACTCGGGGGACATGTTCATGAGCATGCAGAATCTGAATGGGGATTCTTACCAAGGGGCACAAGTCGGAGCCAATGTACAGTCACAGGTAGGCTCCACGCACAGGGACTGGGGCTGTGTGCCAGAACAGAAAGCTGCTAAGCTAGCCAGTCATCCCAAGTACAGTCTCAACAACACCAGCTTACAGATAATCATACTAAATTGTGTGCCCCCTCCCTAGTCATCTTATTTTAGCAATGGAACATTAATTGTTGATGACTGATGTCTGGCTATGGACGGATTATTTGAGCAATCCCAAATTGCCCTCCAACAAATTACCGTTATCATAGCCCAGGGTGGCCAATAAAAGCAGATCCTCATTATTTGTAGTCTGTTAGTAAATTGATCTCACCTCTGGAACAGACCCCATTTTGCAGTTGATGTTGCGAATGCATTTGGCTCTGACTTGAGCTCTTGGGTTGGTATTGGGTGTTTGTAACTGTACTTTCCTTCAAACTTCTGTATCCTTTATTATCTCTTTTTCATTGTGCCTGTGTCCCTTCATAATGTTTATCCATTTTAAGATGATACATCTCATTGTCATGAGAGATGGCTCTTGAAAGGGAGATTACGAAAGAGAGAGGATTTTCTGAACCATTATAATTCTACCATAGCAGAGTATTTTAAAACATCTACTCGCCATATCTGGCATATTACTGTAGCTTGCTTAACTTGCTGTGTCACGTATTACTGCTGTCTTCAGATCACATGTCTGTGTAAAAATGTAAATATGTGAATAATAATTTGTCTTTTTATTGTACTGTAATCAGGTCTCTGCTTTCAAATAAATATCGTTAAAAAACAATTTCTATGCATGCAGTCATAAATTTCACATAAAACATCTTGTATGTCATTTACTTCATTCAACATGCATTCCACCTAGTGTTGCAAATTTAGTAGAGAGAGAACAATGGACCGCACAGTTGTAAACAAACAGTTGGGCCCACCCACATTTGTCAGCTCGGCCCACTTCAGTTCAGTGATTGACTGAATCAGTTGAAGAGAGTTAGGACAGGGTATTTTTAAAAATACCCCCGTTCTGCAAAAAATTGAAAAGTTAACTACACAGGGTGATCCAAAGTACTTAAAGTACTTAACTCAGGCAATTTAGCCCAACAGCCTGATAAAAGACTTAGAAGACACAGGTCAAGTGGACTAGAGTCTGTTCCAGTACTTATTATATTGGTCTACAGACTTTTTCTTTTTATTCATTAATACAAATTGTGGAGAGTAGTGACCAGATACAATGTTTTTGAAGTAGTCACAGATAATGTTCTCATAAAATGTGCATAAAATCAACTTCAAGAGAGTTTATTGATTGCTGTCTCTAGCTTGGCTTACAACTGGGAATTGGTCCATTCTTCCCTCCTCTGTTTAGACATCAGTGTGCAAGTGCTTTGTATGATTTTGTGCTCATGTTGTTGATGTGTTCCTGAGACACAGGAAGTTGACAGGCTTGACTTCCTGTTGTGTTCTCTGCAGGTGGATACCCTGCGCCATGTTATCAGTCAGACGGCAGGATACAATGATGCCCTTGGGGGGAACTCCATGTACAGTCCACATGGCTTGAATGTAAGTGAATTCTGCCATTTATTGCAAATAACAATGTAATTAATTTTGATTTTTGGTTTGATTAAACTCCTTTCATGAATTTTTGTGAATTATTATTGCATAGCTCATTTGTTTTACACAATATTGACATCATGGACCAGAGTTCTCATCCACATGAATATGCGTATACAGCTTACATACGTTGTATGTCTAAAAGTATCCAGACACTTAGACCTTAGTGAATTCAGCTACTTTAAAGCGCACCCATTGTTGATACAGGCAATTAATTGTGCACACAACTTGCATAATCTTCATAGAAAAGCATTGCCAACAGAATAAGATGCTCTAGAGCAGCCACACATGACGCAGGTCACAATGCTTAATGTCAAGCATTGGCTAGGGGGGTATAAAGCTTTGCCCCTCCATTGAGCTCTGCACTCTCAGAAAAAAGGTACTAAACTGTCACTGTGGTGGTTCCCCTAAAGGGTAGATCTTCAGTACCTTTAGTTAGGGAACATAATTGTACCTTACTCCATTGCAGTTATATTTTTTAAATTGCATTGACTCTATACACCTTGTATTGACTCCAGGCTTTTTAATTTATTGTTCTTTTTTAACTTTTTTAACATTAGTTTATGAAAAGGTATAAATAAGTATGTTTCCCATGGGAAAACCCTATTCAAGTTGCTTAAGGCCATTGTTGTACCCTTAAGGGTACATTTACATTTTCTGTACCTTGATGAACAAAAATTTGCCTGCACAAAACTTGTTTTTTTCTGACAGTGTGGAACAGTGAGCATTGTGTATTGATGCATTGATACCATTTTTTTGGGCAAGTGCAAGTACACTCTACTTGTACTTTTGTATTCGCTGATACCAAGTCTGACATTATACTCAGTAAGCTACTTAGAATTAAATAGTTATAAGTTAAACAGTTAACAGTTAAATCATTACATTCTAGCCGATTTTCAATTATGTGAATTAGCTAGCTATGCTACATCAGTTACTTTTGATTGAGTAGCGCTGCAGTAGAGACGAGTAGATTTTGCTCCTTGTCAGAAAAGCGCTTCTGTACAGCTGTAAGTACATTTCATAGTTTTTAACCCTGATCTGTCTCTTTCAACAACGGTCTCTGTAGCACAGCGACAGCAGGAATCATATCCGAGGAGCTTGCTTGTAGAGTTTTATGTCTGAAGTCTTTTGTTTGGCTGGTTGAGCTATAGTTGAATGTCCTCTAAAGCCTGACATACACTGTGTGATTTTAGAAATCTTGTTCTTTGGTGACTCACACTGTACATATGAATACACTGCCCATCGAGACAAAGCCTACAATTTATATACTCACACAGTATGAAAATGCTCGGTCCATGCTGTGTGAAATGTTCTGTCCATGAACAATTTCAGATACAGCTGTTTCATTGAAAATAACACTGCGCTGAGTGCTGAGCATAGAGAAACATAGAGAAGAGCAGTGCTACTAACACTGAGCACTGAAGCCTAAGCAGGCAATAATATACTTGGCAGGATCATATGGTTGTACCTCCCTATTCTATTCAGTCAAAAAAGTAAAGTCAGCATAGGAGGACTTTGGAAAAAAAAGTTGACTCTTTAGCCTCCATTTTTCTGGCCTTCGTGTCTCCACCTGTATTGGGGATGTGCTTAAAACGGTCTGATGGGATTATACCAAAGCTTGTTTAAAGACTTTGTTTGACTGTCAAGAGTCTTTGTCCATGAGCACGAGTACATATCGAGTAGGATATCAGTCCAATACCCGATAGTCGTATCTTAGTAATGCTAAGAGTGGAATTTTGTGTGTGAACTGTGTTGGTGCTTGCCATAAAGACAAATGTTTATTACTCAAAAATGAGCTTTGATTTGAGGTACACATGTAGCCAAAGCAGTATTAATTTACAGAATTATATATTTTAATGGAAAGTCCCAGTGAATATATTAACACCAGTGTATGTGTGATCTTGTCTATAAAGAAATGATTATCCAATATAACATAAGAAAATGCCAGTGTAAGTTTTAATCTTTAAATTGACAAATACAACATCTGTCACAAGACATAAGAATATGCTGAAATTCTATCACTTGAGTGAGTGAGAACAAAACATCATTTGCCGTAAACCCAAACAGCGCTATTCTTGAGGCAGAGTGAATGCAAAATGAGATCCAGACAGATATTAAACATGTTTGTTGCCTGTGTAAACATTTCATATTACGGTAACCTATAGCGTGGTGAGATGAAAAGGCTTTTAGTGCCCTATCTCTGCCACTGTTTGGCTGTTTTGAAATGCTTCAAAGAATTCGCAATATCCTTATCAACGTGATGAAATATGAAAGCATGATCGCCTGCAGCCGTCGGTAGACATGAATTTTATCTTCCTTGATGAGGTTTGCTGTGGTGCTTTTTCCTCCATACACTCTGTAATCTGAAACCACAAGGGTAAAAAGATTCAGTTATTTGATGACTGAGAGAGAGAGAGAGAGAGGGAGAACCTTTTGAATAAAGCCAATGTACTTACTTTCTTACATTCACAATTAAATAAATAGAAATAAATCAAGAAATAATGTATTAAACTACACAAGAAAACATACCTTGCAGGTATAAGCAAAGCAGGATGATTTGTTGATAAAATAGTCTAGAGTGTCAGTTAACCTCGATTAGCATTCAAAATTTGAAGAAAAAATAAAGATACAACATCTCTACGGGGAAACAGATGGATTTTGATGGATGGATAATTAACTGTAAGGTAATTAATAAAGCAGTGCTGTCATATCATATGCATGCTTTTTGGTGAGCATTACAGTGCATTTGCATGAATTAAGGTAAAGAATCCACATTATCATCAATGTCAGGAGCCAAAGCGTATGTGTGGCTTTTCAAGACAGTGGGACGCGACCATGGCAGTGTATCCGTGGCGAATGTTCACGCGGCAGCATGTCATCTCGGGTTTTGTTGTGGCCTCTATGGCCTGCAGCAGTGCAGATGAAGTGTCAGGCTCTCGCAGACTCAAACTGCACTTTCACACACTCTCTCTCTCTCCAGCTTTCACACTGTGGTCCACTGATTGGGTCAGAGCTCACTCCATCACCACTGCAAGAGTGTGTGTGTTTGAGTTTGTTGCTGTGCATGCGTGCACTTCTGCTCCTCCCAAAAACAGAAAGAATGGGGTGGTGTCAGTCTGACTGCTCTCTCCTCTGACTCAGAAATGAGACAGAGAGAGAGAAAGAGAGAGAGAGTCACTGTGGATGAATGCAGATGATGCATGTCACCGGGGCTGAGCAGACTTCCTCATAACGCTCTTATTTCAGCCTCAGCCCAGACACTGTGGCTGGAAGAAGCCAGATCAATCTGTTTATTGACCTATTCCAGGAACTCTAAATCAGCAAAATTCTAATTCCGCCACTGAGCATTCCTTCCCCAAACATACACCACACACACTCAGACACCTTATATATCGTCACTGTCCAAAGAAAAACAAGTCTCCAAAATGGTAAATTTAATGTAAAGAGATTTTATTCCAAGTAATTTTGGAGCATATCTATTGGTCCATTTATCATGAAATGATACACACAATGTAAAGGACAGCTGCCGCGCCCAAATGATATTTAAAAGTAAAAATAATACTAAAAAAATTGGATGGCGATGATATGTACTTTGATATATACATATTAATATATATCATCTCTGTGCAGATGTATAGATGTATGTCATATATATTGTCACTTTCGGAACAAAAGCTCCAAAAGAATACCTTTACAGGAATATATATATATTATATATATATATTCTTTTGGAGCTTTTGTTCCGAAAGTGACAATATATATGACATACATCTATACATCTGCACAGAGATGATATATATTAATATGTATATATCAATATATATATATACATATATATATATATATATATATATATATATATATATATATATATATATATATATATTTACTGTATTTTAATAAACAGTTAGGGCTACAGTCATCGCAACAATGTGTGAGCAGCTGGGCTTCAGACATACTGTGTTTGATAAAAATCAATAATTAATCACGTTTGACACCACTTTATACACACAAAACACACAGACACACACACATATATATATATATATATATATATACAGAGAGAGAGTGACAGCACGCATCTCACCACATTTTTACAGTAACACAGACGGATTGTTTTGATAATGCTGCGCATCCCAAGTAAATTACCATACGCTAACCTTTTGTTGTGGTGACTGTAAGAAGCAGGAGAAGAGGAGGGGAGGGGGTAGAGGCAGGACAGGAGGAAGGGAGAGGAGAGGAGAAACTATCCAGCAAAGGCTAGTCTCTGCCAGGAGCCACACGCCTCAGTCAGAGGCACTCAGGCGCGCTGGGTGGAGGAAAGGCCTCCACCGTCACTTTCGCTCAGCGTCCCCCCTCCCCCACCCCACCCCACCCCACCCAGCCTGGCTTTCCCTCCTCCTGACTCACATCAAAATATGGAGCGACAAGCTGTCGGCCCACCGCCGAAATCTGATTAGACATTGATTTCAGAGATCGCTCCCTTTGCCTGCAACGTTAAGGCAAATTTGTTTTCCAAGAGAAGGGAGGCAGCTGAGAGAGAAAGGGGGGGGCTGTTGCTAGTGTAAATGCAGCGAGATGGCCGTTGGCATTACTGAACATACACTCAGACCCCTATGATTTTTTAATGTATCAGTATGCATATGAACAGGCATCTCTCACCCAATATGTGCTGAGACCAGGCAGAGCTCTGCACAAACAGGGATGGACACACACACCGGTCCTCATAGGCATATATTTTACTGCATTAGTTGCTTTGTTTTGTTATATAATTCCTTTTTTTATCAAGTTGACTTTTTCCTAATTGTTGGCCAGATCTTAAATGAATTCTGGAAGATCAATGTGTCATTTTTAAACAGTGTGGTCTTTCCATTGGTTACTACTATATCACTTAGATGCACAAATACTTGTCAGTTCATTATTTATAACTCCCAACAACATATTACAATACAATCCATGCTTTCATTTATTCTGCAATACTTCCTTTTTTATTGCTGTCTTTGTGTGAATACTCAACATAACAAATTTCTTGTATGTGAAAATGTCCTTAGCTAATAAACAATTCTGATTCTGATACTGATTTTAGCGCATTATCTCTGTTTGCATTTCCTGCTACAGGCTAACGGAGGATGGCAAGATGCTACAACCCCGTCCTCTGTGATCTCCCCTACCGAAGGTCCTGGTAGTGTGCACTCTGATACCTCGAACTGATTTCTTCTTCAGTGATACAGCTCCTTCTCAGACTGTGGACAACCAATCACCAAACCACAGACCCATGGACTGACCGATCAGAGACGCAAAACAAACTCACTACCAATAAGCTGTCTGCAGCCTCTTTGAACCCCCACACATTCATGTCCCCATTATCGCCGACATTTCTCCAGAACATTGAGAAGCTCTTAGGAATTGAATTACTTGCTCTCTGCAGTCCACAGCAGTTTCACTTCTAATAATTTCTGCTTTGCACATATTCTTCAACTGGTTTTGCTTCTTCTGGTATATAAGTATACATTCTCAGATTTTGTGTGAATTACATGGTCTCTTTTCTATTCAAGTCTTTTCAGTGAATATGCATTTAAGTAGATATGTTTCATAACCCATTCCTAGTCTACTGTAAACAAAGCTAGCTAGGAATGCAAGGACTGATAGAAGTAAATACTCAAACCCATTCATTTTACAGGGCTAATATGCTAAAGAAGGCAGCTTTGGGAACTTTAGAAATGCATTTCTTTATCTGACCTTTTCTTTTTACGTCCTTGCATGGTCCTAAATTAGGTGATCTAAATGAATCCACTCCATTTTGGGGGTATGAATTGAAATTCTGCAAATATGTGTTCCATAATTGTATTATTTTCGAACATAAAACATCAATGTTCATTGCATCACAAAATGTACTTAAGTGAGGCTCATATTATGTGAGACATGATTTTTTAAATGCAGAATATGAGTCTTACATTAACACCGTTATGTTTCAGGACTCCATGGTTTTGGCTCGTAGGGACTCCATTCACAGACAGGAAAAACAAAAAACGGTCTTGTATATAATATAGCTTAAGAGTATTTATACATCTCACAAATCAATACGCAGCTTTATTACCTCATTCAGACTCATAGAAGAACCAATAGATTTCCAACATTTCTCTAGCTTAGAGTGCTCTCACTGACTACCTCTCAACAATATCACCACCATCCTTTTAACTTTATTTTTCCATTTTTACGTAGATTCATTTGGTTGCATCTTGTAATAAACTTTTTTTTCTCTCTCTCTCTTCATGTAATCTAATGTATATTTTAATCTTCTAAGAAAATGAGTTGCTTTCTCGCAACTTTTAAAAAGGAAAAAAAGAAAAAAAAAATGATGACCATAATACAAATAATATGAATAACACGGAGACCGAGCGGGTTTTGTGGTGAATTTTTGGGGAGGGTCTTGGGGTGGTGGGGAATGTGGGACGTGGGACTAAAAATTAACACCGAACAGTTAAACTGTTGTAAATAGCGAAGAACATTTTGAATGTTGCTCATCTTGTTACTAATTCACTTAAAAAAAGGAAAAAAATCATGGTTAAAAAAATCTGTAATGCATAGAGGTTTCAGTATTCAGAACTGTACATTTCAGGCTCTGTGTGACAGGGCTCCAACTTTCTTTCTCTTTTTTTGTATCGTATGTGATTCTGAAACTGATTAAAAAAAGAAGTCATGAAAATTTATTTGTGGCAGTGAATCTAATGTATTAAAAATGTTTCGTGTTTCTTTCTAACCAGACTACACCCTGGACTGAAAAGTCTTCCTTGTGGTAGTTATGTGTAATTTCAAACATGAATAAACTTTTTTCCTTTCATGATGGAAGATCCTGATATCATGACTTTTTCTTTGCAAGCAGACAAATTATTATTACTGTTGTTGGTTGTTGTTATTATTATTAGTAGTAGTAGTAGTAGTAGCAGTAGTACAGCTTGTTAAAAATACCATGTCTTACTAATAAATACAGCTAGAAATAGAGCTAGAAATATATATTTAATTAATTGATCAACCTAATCTGAATGCAAAACTAAAATAAAGATATAAGGATTAAATACTTCACTATAGGCCTATTTAAGTATCAAGAGTACAAGTAATGAAACAACTAAATTAATTTTTATTTATTTATTAAATGGAATTTGCAGATGAGCAGGTTTCATAGCTTGATATAGGACAGAAAAAACAACTTAAGTTAAAGTATGGGTCCTGTGTCCAAAAACTACTCAATATGGAAATATGGAGCCAAATTGCATTTGTGTGAAAATTTTAGCGCATTATCTCTGTTTGCATTTCCTGCTACAGGCTGACGGAGGATGGCAAGATGCTACAACCCCGTCCTCTGTGATCTCCCCTACCGAAGGTCCTGGTAGTGTGCACTCTGATACCTCGAACTGATTTCTTCTTCAGTGATACAGCTCCTTCTCAGACTGTGGACAACCAATCACCAAACCACAGACCCATGGACTGACCGATCAGAGACACAAAACAAACTCACTACCAATAAGCTGTCTGCAGCCTCTTTGAACCCCCACACATTCATGTCCCCATTATCGCCGACATTTCTCCAGAACATTGAGAAGCTCTTAGGAATTGAATTACTTGCTCTCTGCAGTCCACAGCAGTTTCACTTCTAATAATTTCTGCTTTGCACATATTCTTCAACTGGTTTTGCTTCTTCTGGTATATAAGTATACATTCTCAGATTTTGTGTGAATTACATGGTCTCTTTTCTATTCAAGTCTTTTCAGTGAATATGCATTTAAGTAGATATGTTTCATAACCCATTCCTAGTCTACTGTAAACAAAGCTAGTACAGAGGAATGCAAGGACTGATAAGACTGAAAGTTATAAAAATATTTATTTATTATTTATTTACTTATTTGTTTATTTATTTATTTATGTGATGTGGTGATATGTCAACTAATGGGCAATACCAGCCCTGGCACAGAGAAAAGTTATCTGATTATTTTACACGGTTTATTACTGGACAGTCTATAATACTTACTATTTCTCAATACTTCAATAAAACCACACTATTTGCATGCAATAGCACAACAGCCCCTTTATGTCAACAGAGATTTAAATGCGATTGGTTATATTTTAATGCGCATACATCAAATCAAGCACACAAGCGGAATTAAACACAACACTTTGCTAATGCATGAATACTAGTGTCACATTACTTAGATAATCAGAAACCACTATCTTAAAGACATTAGTGCAAATCTATGGAAGGCACACATGTCGGTGACAGGGCCTCTAAGAGGAAGTGACAGCCCCCTTATAGAAACCATGGTTTCCCCTACAGGCTTACGATCTGTCAAAGAGAAAGAGATGGGTTTTTCAGCATGGCATGGGCTGCTGGAGCCAACTGAAGTATTCGGAATGATATGGATCCTTGCAGCAGCTTCTTAGAAGCTGTTCCATGTGGCACAGTGACAAAAACACATTAATATTACCAATTGTTGCCTGAGACTTCTGACAAATGCTGCAAAAATTCCTTTCTTTAATTAGGATGTTTGTAGACTTTAATAGACTAATTTGAGGGAAAGTGCATCCATATAGGATGTGAAAGTGTTATGGAAATACTGAACATTTTATTTTAGGTGGGCAGTATGGCAAAAATATTATCTCAATACTTCAAGACAATTTCACAATACATCAAATGCATCACAATATTTTGTTTTTCTGAAATTTAAAAAGTTGGAACAGACAAAATAGAACCAGTTGTGTCATGTATAAAAATACTACAGTAATAATAAACCTACAACTACAAGATTTTTGCAAACTGCACTGCACTAAATCTAACAAAATAGGCCTCAATTTGTAGTGAAACGTTGTTAGTCTGTGTTCTTTGAGTAGTGATGATATCCACAATGTGCTTAGAGAAGCCACATTGTTACATAATTTAGCACGATAACTTTAAAATTTCGTCATAATGGCCACCCCAATTTCATCCAATTAAATATGATCTGCATTGTCATTGTTTCATTTTAAATCCAGTGTTCTGGAGCCACTGTCCAATTACTTACAGACTCCACTATAAATAACCATGTTTTCGTCAATGGAATGTGATGAACATTAGTCTACTTGTGGAGTTTTTCCAAGGATTTGTACATTGCTAAGTACTTTTAGAAGAATTCTGTACTTCGCAGAATAATTCAGCTGTTCAGAATTTTGGCCCCATTACAAAGGATTCAGAAAACCGTATTGTTGCCAATTTATATTTATAGAGTAACAAAAAAGTTTATCATCTCTTTTGATCGTATTTCAGTATCTCTTACTGATAAAGCTGGTAAATACTAGCAAAAAGCTCATGATGGCTTAAGTGAAGCTGACTAATTTGCCAGCTTTGGGTGTCAATAAATCCACCAAGGGTCGAACAAAAACTAGAGATTGTACTTTGTTAAGATACTTCAATATTTTTTGGAAGATTTACTTGAGTAGTACTCAAAATGAACACTTGTCCTTTCACTCTTACTATACTTACAAGAGAAAAAGCATACTTTTTACCCCTTTATCTGTTGTCTTTCAAACCATTAAAATACTTATTAGAAATCTTAAAGGCCATGGAAATGTTCACTTTTTTCCTCTGGCCAATCGATTTCCCACACATTTTATTTATTTATTTATTTATTTGATTTGATTTGATTAAACCATCCAACCTTAATCATATCATTGTAGATTGAAACTGCCCACTACTATGCTTATTTGTCTTTGTGTGAGTACAGCCCATTAGTTGCCACACTATTTGCATTCATATTTGTTCAATTTAATAATTTAATAAAATGTATTAAAATATTTTTCTAGTATTTTTCTTCATTTTTCCTTTTTCTGTACATCAAGTATGTCTTTCAACTGGAAAAGTTATTAGAAGCATGGACACCGAACTTTGCACCTGGACCTGAGAACAATCCTTTAAGCCCGTGCTGATGTTGGTCTTCTCACACACCTAGTCATCAGCTGAAACAAACTACAACTTGCCTGTTTTTAACCAGTTCAGAGGAAGAACACACAAAGCTTTCGAAAGCTTTTTACACATTTTTTTTCAAGCACAGCAGGCCAGCTTACAGCAAATGTACGAATCAGTAAGCAAACAGTGTTTCCATTACTCGCCGTTGGCCTGGCTGACTTGTTGTAAATAGTGTAAGAAATGTGCAATCTAAGCAGGAGCATTCAGACTAAGGGGAGAGCACATTAGATTCAGCCAGCACCTGCTAGAGCCAGGCAGACGCAGATGATCATCACACCTGGGTTTTACTGGCCTCATTCAGACAAAGAGTGTGTTAACCTGGAAATTCTTTCCAATATAGTAGCTAACAGGGGAGAGTGGATGAATGTTTTATGTAGCTAAACAAGTTCAAGCAGAATATGCTGTCTAGCATGTGTAAATTTTCATAGCTATCTGACTTTCTTTTTTCAGTGAATTTTGATTATTGAGTTGCCTATATAAGTCACAGAATTGACTGTAATCTCTTTCTTAGTGCCAGTAACGTTGCGCTGTTTCGAAGCATGTATCAACTCACAGTGAGAGGCTGGAGAACAAGGCATGACAGGGGTAAGTTGTAACATAGTGTTACAACTAAGCTGTCTGAAGTAAACAACAATATTCCCATATTCCCCTCAACCTGCTTTTGGGGTACGTTGTAACATTTTGACTCTTTCTCTATGCCTCCTTTTGTTCCTCACAAAAGGCAGATGCTCAAAATGGAGTTATGGAATTATTTGGGAGGAGGAGCCCACCTGAAGCTCCTCCAACTTCCATCTCTACAGCCCAGTCCCAAATGGCACCCCAAGCCCTGAAGTCCTCCGTAAAGTCTACACTTTTGTGATATCAACAACATGCAGACCCATAGACTAGGGGTCTCCAATCCTATTTGCAAAGGGCCAGTGTAACTGCAGGTTGTCATTCCAACAAAGCAGGAACACACATGATCAACTGTTTGAAGACTGGCCAACTGATTAAACAAGTGGAATCAGGTTTGCTCCTGTTTATTCGAAATGAAAACCTGCAGCCACACTCACCCTTTATGGATAGGACTGGACATCCCTGCTATAATGCAAGACACTCACAGAGGACAGATTTGTGTGACATGCAGGTTTTCCACGTATGGCATGCAGCATACTTTCTTTTTAATGACCTAATGGCTCATCTACAGTATCTGAATTCAAATTACAAGCATTATGCAGGTCAGTGAATTAATAAACAAATGCATTTTTACTCACATTCTGCCAAAGGCCACAGAAAGAACACATATATGGTGCTAGTGAGCACCCTTTGAGTGGCAAAATGCTTCAGCTACACACGCATGAGCAATTGCACAACCACAAGTACATCATTTGGACTTGTAAAGTCTTTCAGCACAACCGAGAGACAACTCCAGCCCAAGATTTCACTGTTCTCTCCCCTCCAACAGTCATACAGTCTTTTCCCATATTGCAACAGTATGTTGAAGGCATTGTCCAAACTCACTAAACAAGGTACAGCTTTTGTAGCAGAGATGGGCATGTTGAGGTCAATCTGAAAATCACAATTTACCTTTTTTACCTTGTTAGTTAAAAAACTAAATTCCCATAATCTTCCATTGAAATATAAAGACTTTCACCAACGTCTAAAACCTCTTCTGATTTTTCATCACGTCACTGTGAACTAGCAGGTGGGGGAAAAAACATTAATCAGTAATATAATGTTTCCCACCCCCCTTCGCTCCCCAATGAAGTGTATCATTTGGAAATACATTTTAGATGGAAAATGCGATATGATTTCACATGACTTTAAATGATTAATCTTGCTCAGTTATTTAAGACATAATATAGCACAAAGCAAA